GTTCCATTCTATATGCATCCGAAGAAGTGGGCTGTAGTCCACGAAAGCTTATGCTCTAATAAATTTGTTAGTCTCTAAGGTGCCACAAGTCCTCCTAATATCCTAGAGGTCGTAGGGCTCTTGGTCCTTGCACAGCTGCCCACTAGCAACCCAGGGCCCACTAGTTTTAAGGGCGGAGGCACAAGAGATTCCACCACTTTTGAGGATGAGGGGGTGATGACAGGGACACTTGGGACGTGTCTCGCATGCATCTCCGTTACATCCATTGGAAGGCGTAGGAAGCCTACCTGCTGGTTGTCATGACTGTGAATTGGTGCCAAATCATAGGCAGCGGGTCTAACAGGTGAGGGGAGGAGATAGAGGAGCACAGGTGGAGGCCGCGTGGGGGATGAGGGTAGAGGAGAGGAGGGATACAGGGAGCGGTAGGGGCCTCACAGAGGGAAGGAGAGGAGGAACGCGGCAAGCAGTGGCAGTGGGGGCCGAATGACGAGGGAGACGAGGTCTGGGGTGGAATGTGGGTGGGGCTACAGGCAGAAGAGGTGGGGCTACAAGCAGAAGAGGCGGGACAGGGAGCTAGTCTCCCCCCAGGGACGCTTCGCCTATGCGCCACATTACACTGCTTGCTCACGTTTGGGGCTTGTTTTTACAATGGCTCTTAAACAAGCTGATGGAAGCACTTTCATACCACACCACAACAATGCCAGCTCCCTCCTTGCGTAGCTCAGGCTCACTGATGTTCAGTCACTACCATCTCAGCGAAGGCTTTCTTGAAAAGAAAACAACTGTTCCAAGAACATCTCTGAACTCAGTGGTATTTTCGTCAATCCACTGTGTCATCTTTCCCTCTGCATTCCTCAGGAGACAATGATAGCCTGCTGGGACATTATGCATAGATTGCTAACTTGCTGTGTATACACCGACGCATAGAATGGGCTTTTGTAATTTAAATAACAAACTCTGGGATTGATGATACAAACAAACTCGGTCAGTCATGCAGTTTCAGCATCAATAAACAAAAATCTGTGAGTGTGACTTGGGTGTGGGGGGGAACATGTGTGTCTTGTTATTAAAGATTTCGAGTATGTTCTATCATCTGATTCCATCATAATTATTGCACAATATTTTTTGCCACTGTCCCAATGCTAATGAACTACAAACACAGAGAGGCTGGATTGTACCCTGGTCTTACTGGCCTGAGCAGGGAAGGCAAGCCTCCTTATCACAGCTGCTCAGCGGCGCAACACCTAACCACATCTGTCGCAGAAGGCATCCCCCTACACTCAAGATATTCCTCTCGACAAGTGAGTGGAATGAGGGGGTGGGATCGCGTAGACCACCCCTCGCTCAGAGCTCTGCTTAAAAGCACCAGTGCCCCGCAGAGTACAGAAATGTGTAAGGAGCCAATTAGACTCTGAAGGGGTGTAACTGTGCCACGAGATGTATCCATGACACAGTTGTATCATAAGGAATGGATCCGCAGATTGGGGTAAATCAGCCCCTCTCCAGTAGAGTGATTGGATCTATGCCCATTTACATCAGTTGTGAATCTGTTCCTAAGGCTCCAAGATCAGGAACACAACCCTGCAATCAGACCCTGCTCCCTGCACCGAGCCCCACAAGAGACGAGTGTTTTTACCACCATGTTGGTGGATCTGCTCTGAGCAGGAATAGACACTATACAGACACTGGGGGCTGCCTGGAGCCAACTCTATACTACCCCTCATATCACTGTAGCAATGGGAAGTGTTTCAGAAAAAAGGCTAGCATACCCCCAGCCCGCAAGCTTCCTCTGTATGGTACAGGCATTCCCCCTAGCAGAGAATGGGCTCCGTGCGGTGTGGGTGTGTGCACGTTGACGGCTGCTGTTGAGTTATAAGGATCTTTTTGAGTGTAATAAGAAATAAACGAGTTATACTGGACACTCTGATGGGAGATTGCTTGTAGTGTTTACATAAGGATGCCACCGATAATAAAAACAGCATTACATCTATGAACATTATTCTAAATATCTTTTCAAATGAAATCGGCCTCCCTAATCGGGCATGTCTCATTTGCATGGCAAGAACAGCATTTTGTAGGAAAAAAAGGCAATAAATACATTTTGTGTTTGAAAAGAAACAAAAGCTCTGACGAGGCCTTTAATCATCAAATCTTGATCATTTCCAAGTCTAATGTATTATGATTATGCAACAACTAATTAAATTAGTACTGACAGCTTTCAAAGGGAAGCTGACTTAAGATACAATCGATACTAATTTTCTGGGTTGGTGTGCCCGAGACAAAGTAAAAGCAAGTGAATTCCATCCAGGAGCGAATGAAAGCACAAGGCCACCCACACGTGACATAGGATGTCTCTTAAGACTAACTGGTAAACGAATTGTCAGTTTAGTTGACTGGCCTGTGACCTGATACTGAATAGTTGTGAGTAATAAAATGAGTGAAAAAACCTTTCTGGCTTAATACAGTATCAGAAATATTTATTGGTAAAGGCTAATGACAGGTACTGTGCAGCTGATCGGCAGCTACGTACTTATTTTTCACTCTTCTGGCAATAAATTGAGCTTTCATTGTTTGGGCAGATGAAAGGCGCCACGCATCGGCTGGCAGGCGCAGAAGGATTGAATGACCAGTGGCGGGATGAATTGTATCGACGTGTGAGAAATTACAACACAGGCGGCAGGTGGCAGCCCATCCAGGTCTATCACTGTCCAGTGGCCCAGGGCAAGGTAGGAGCTGGGCTGGGGCAGGAGGTGAGGATTCCTGGCAGGTGGAGCTAAATGCCTCAGTCCCAGCAGGTGGGAGCCAAGGTGATGAAGGGGAGACTCTCAGTGGAAGGGGGAAAGGGGCTATCTGAGGTGATGGAGGGGAAGGGGCATCCCGGGGAAGAGGGGGATGCTGAGGCGATGCGGGGGAAGGTGAGTTCCAGGGACAAAGGGGATGTTGAGGGGAAGGGAAGGCCCAGTGGAAGGGGGGATCTGAGATGATGGGGGAAAGGGGCTATCTGAGGTGATGGAGGGGAAGGGGCATCCCGGGAAAGAGGGGGATGCTGAGGTGATGGGGGGACTCCCAGTGGAAGGGGGGATCTGAGGTTAGGGAGGGGAAGGTGAGTTCCAGGGACGGGGGGGATGTTGAGGTGATATGGAGGGGAAGGGAAGTCCCAGTGGAAGGGGGGATCTGAGATGATGGGGAAAGGGGCTATCTGAGGAAGAGGGGGATGCTGAGGTGATGGGGGGAGACTCTCAGTGGAAGGGGGGAAGGGCTATCTGAGGTGATAGAGGGGAAGGGGAGTCCCAGGGGAAGGGCAGATCTTGAGGCTCCACATCTGGCAGCTTCAGGACCAGAAGGGCTTGGGGCACGGTGAAGGGAGGGCCCTGCCTGCACCTGAACAGGTGCATTATGTGCCAGGGGAGGGATAGCTCAGTGGTTTGAGCATTGGCCTGCTAAACCCAGGGTTGTGAGTTCAATCCTTGAGGGGGCCATTTAGGGATCTGGGGCAAAAATCTGTCTGGGGAGTGGTCTTGCTTTGAGCAGACTAGATACCTCCTGAGGTCCCTTCCACCCCTGAGATTCTATGGTTCTATGCTGTGGTGGACTCCTGCGAGTGGTGAGGGCCAGGAAGCTAGATTGGGAAGCTAGGCCCAGCTCCACGGGACAGGAGCCAGTGCTGTGGGTAAGTGTGGGATGGACTCCACCACCCAAGGAACAATTTCCCCAGCTGCCTATGCCTAGCAATACTCTGCAGCATTTTTCTTGATGATTTGGGGTTGCTAGGCAGCGGATGGGTCCGAATCTGACCCTCCTGGCGACAAGGGTAAAACAGCCGTTGACTTCAACATGGCCGTAGCAGACACACACCAGGTTTTCTTGGAGTAGCTCCCCTGCGTAAAGCGTCACACCTTCATCAAATGGTAGGCCCTGGGATAGAGCTCAAACACGGCACCTACTCTGTATGACTCGGGACCCTTTTCCCTTCGGCTGCTGGACTTTTTTCTTTCAAACCGTTGATGTAGTGACTGCGGGCCAAGCCTTTCTCCATGCGGCCTTAGGCTGACCGGCCGAAGGGAAGACGCCAATGGAACAACGCCAAGCAGCGCTGTTTGGTTATTCAGAAGGAAGGTTGTGGCCGGGATGGAATCTCATTCTCGCATCCACGCTCGCATCCTCTCATCACTGCATAACTATTAGGTTTGCGCTGCAAAAGGCCAGCTGTGCTGCCTCGCCGCCCCTTTTGCTTTGCTTTACGTCCCTGCTTCAGAGCAGCGCGAAGCACAAATACGGACAGGAGGAGGCCCCGGGCCAGCTTAGGAGGGGGCGACGGACCGGTTTTCTTGGAGTAGCTCCCCTGCGTAAAGCGTCACACCTTCATCAAATGGTAGGCCCTGGGATAGAGCTCAAACACGGCACCTACTCTGTATGACTCGGGACCCTTTTCCCTTCGGCTGCTGGACTTTTTTCTTTCAAACCGTTGATGTAGTGACTGCGGGCCAAGCCTTTCTCCATGCGGCCTTAGGCTGACCGGCCGAAGGGAAGACGCCAATGGAACAACGCCAAGCAGCGCTGTTTGGTTATTCAGAAGGAAGGTTGTGGCCGGGATGGAATCTCATTCTCGCATCCACGCTCGCATCCTCTCATCACTGCATAACTATTAGGTTTGCGCTGCAAAAGGCCAGCTGTGCTGCCTCGCCGCCCCTTTTGCTTTGCTTTACGTCACTGCTTCAGAGCAGCGCGAAGCACAAATACGGACAGGAGGAGGCCCCGGGCCAGCTTAGGAGGGGGCGACGGACCGGTTTTCTTGGAGCAGCTCCCCTGCGCAACGCGTCCAAACCTCATCAC